TTTTTTTCTACTGCTTCTCCAATTCTCTGAGGCAAGATAGGTGATCCATTTGCCTTCTTTATATCTTCTTCTTATATGCCCTAATTGCTATGAACTTCCCATATGAAGGATAATCTTGGTTGAAATTGTTTTTTTCTTAACACTTTCAATATGTCTTCCCATTCTTTCCTTGCTTGCATTGTTTCTGCTGAAAGGTACGGTTTTAGCCTGATGGGATGACCTTTTTATGTCACTTGTTATTTCTCTCTTGCCAATTTTATTATCTTGTCATTATCTGTGGCCTTGGCCAGTCTGGCTAAGATGTGCCCTGGGGACAATTTTCTTAGGTTGATTCTACTTGAGATCCTTTGTATTTCTTGGGTCTGGATGCTTGAGTCCCTCTCTAGACTTGGGAAATTTTCTTCTAGGGTTTCACAGAATAGGTTTTCCATGCCTTTATTAGTTTCTCCACAGTCTGGTATATCAATTTGGATGCTTGGACATTTAATGGAGTCTAGTATTTCTACTCTATTATCCTCTTGTTTATTTGTTTTCTTTTATCTCCTTATGAGGTAAGCTGTGATTCTCATGATGGCTATGCTCAGCCTTGTGTCTTCTGTGCACAGGGAGACTCATGCACCTGTACGCGGTGTGCGTGGACTGCCTGGAAGGGGTTCACAAGATCATCTGCATCAAGTGCAAGTCACGGTGGGATGGCAGCTGGCACCAACTGGGCACAATGTACACCTACGACATCTTGGCCGCCTCTCCATGTTGTCAGGTTGGTATCCACCTCCCTGAGGGAACAGTGGGTGATACGAGGCTTCTGTCCCCAAGTGATTATAGAGAAGGTACTTCTGACAGTAAAGAAGAAATTCAGTTAGAAAACTCCAAAGTTCAAGAATGACTGATTATTAGCAATACATTGTAAATTAGTGGAATACTATACAGTCATTAAAAAGAATGTTGCAGAATGGTATGTCATTATGTGGGAAGTATTTCCAATATATTAATTTTTAAAAATCCAGATATGAAATTGCATCCCAGTATGCTTCCACTTATAACTAAGCATGAAAAGGAATAACCTTACCTGTTACCAGGTAATTACATATGGTCTTTGTGGTAGGATACTGTGCACTTCCTTCAGTTTTCTCTTTGCTTGTTTATATTTTCTAGTATTTTATATAATTAGTTAATAATACATTTCAAATTTTAAAAGTTATTTAAAGGGAGAGAAACAGTTCACTTTCTTTAGTAGATGTGTTTTTTTGTTGTTGTTCTTTCTATAAGAGAGTGCAGTTACCCAGCAATTGCCTACTTGTAAGGTGTTTCAGGTTGGCATAAAAGATTAAAGCAGTGCTAAGAGGAGGCATTTTTGTGATGCTAAGAGAGCATTTGAAATTTAGCTATCATCCAGAAAAGAGGAAAGTATCAACATATGAAAAACCACATTAAATAAATCCATAGAAACAAAAGAGGTAAAATCCTTGGCAATATCTTGGTTTATTTCCAAGTGCTTGGGGGAAAAACAAATTGTTTTGTAATCTCTTGATATTCATGGGGAGGAAAGAAATTTTCCTTTGCTCTGGTTCTCAAATGTAGCTTTTTACTTTTTATTTATTTATTTTTTTTGGAGAGGTTTTTGCGAGAGGGCATATGCACTCACCAGAAAGACAGAGAGAGACAGGAAGCGAGATCCCCCAGGGGATGACCACACCACAATCCCTTCTCCTCCATTCTCATCTCAGGATCTTGGGCATGCACACACTCGCGCCTGGTGTAAGTTTAAGCCACCGGGTCCAGGACACGAACCACAATCGACTACGTGGGAATCCAGCAACATAGCCATTACACTAACTGCTAATCCCCTGTCTGATTCAGTCTTAGAGTGTCCATTTCTTTTTTCATATCATGGTTGGACTTCCTATTCTGCTGTAGCTTGTTGTCTCTTTTCTGTTTCAACTTGTAGAGTTTTGTCACCATGAATGTTCTAAATTCTTTCTCTGATAATTTGGTAGCATCTTCTATTTTTTCAAGAGATGGAGGGAAGTTATTATGTTCTTTTGATGAAGGCATATTTCCTGGTATATTCAGACCTGAGGCTCTTCTACTTCTAGCCACTGGGAGATATATTCATTTTTGGAGAATGTTCCTTTGACTGGGAAAAAGTGTGCTTCCCTTTTGCTGTGGACTGATGTGTGCCAAAGCCTCTTTTCTGATGCTGTGTTTTGCAATGTGGTGTCCACAGGAGGAGTCTTCTTTTCAGGAGCCTGAAGAGCAGTCTTTCCTTTTTTCACAGCTGGTTAAGTAAAAGGGAGAATCACAGGGAGCCTCATAATACCAGGGTATTTGAAAACTGTTTCTAGACCTCTCTAGTCCCTCTTGGTGCATAGAGGATAAGCCAGAGATGGCAATATAAGACGGAAGAGAAAAAGAGTATGAAAGAGAATAAAGAAAAAGGCATGGCCTACAATTTTGCGAGGGGGCTGGAGATGGAAATGGGCTCTGCTGGAGAGTTGAGGACAGGGAGCCTCATAATACCAGGGTATTTGAAAACTGTTTCTAGACCTCTCTAGTCCCTCTTGGTGCATAGAGGATAAGCCAGAGATGGCAATATAAGACGGAAGAGAAAAAGAGTATGAAAGAGAATAAAGAAAAAGGCATGGCCTACAATTTTGCGAGGGGGCTGGAGATGGAAATGGGCTCTGCTGGAGAGTTGAGGACAGTCCTTGCTAACAGAGAAGGGGTCTCTGGGCTTGGGGAAGCTGGAGCTGGGGCTGGGGTGCCCTGCCTCAGTTCTCTGTGTAATTTTAAAGTTCTCTCTCTCTCTCTTTTTAAGATCTTTTTAATCAATTTGACTATAAAAGATCTACAATTGTTTTTTTCTTTGTATTTTCTGTTTAAGGTTAATTAAGATTTTTAACTTATTAGTTTTTCTAAAATTATTTTTTTAATTTAATATATCCTCAAATATTTTTTATAATCAGTTCATTCTTTGCTTCATTTTGGATTTTAATTGCAGTAGACTTCTTGATATTATGCCACTGATCACTAGTTCTAGGTTCATTTATCTTTTCATTATTTTTTTCCTTTTTGTGCTTCAGTCTGAATAATTTCTCCTGACATGTCTTCAAGTTCTTGAATCCTTTCTTCAATGTCCATCCTTTCTTCAATGCTGTTAGGTCCATCTAATTAAGTTTATTTCATTTATTTTATTTCATAGTTTCAGAACTGATTTTTTTCTAGAGTTTATATTTTGAACCTGAAATTCTTTATCTCTTAACCTATTAATGTTACTCTAAATTTTTCATAATTTTTTATAATTTTAAAGTTCTTAACTGGTAATTACACTGAATAAGTGATCTGTGGCTCTGCTTCTACTAACTGTTTAATCTCTAATGAGTCATAGTTTCTTGATTCTTCATATGTCATACAAAATTTTTATTGTATCCCAAGCAATAAAACTAAAGTCTGAAGTATATGTAACTTGGCTTTAATTTATTTTCTGTAAACTGCAAGTTCATTTATGTCTGATATTTAGAATGTTTTCACCATTTGCTCCTAATGAGCAATGAGTCACCACTTTGAATAAAGTAAGTTCCCTTCTGAATCATGCAGCCTGCAATAACCTCCTGCACAACCACTGCCAGCTTTCTTATTTAGTCAACATTGACCTGGGAGGGTATAAGGCTTTAATTTAACATTGTTTTACTTCACTCATAATACCTAGTGATAACATATGGAACCAAAAAATTTCTTGCTGTTTTCTTGAGCCTTCTCCATGGATTTCCACAATTGATGGTAAGTATCAATGAATAACAGGACCAAGCCCAGAGACAGCAAGAAATAACCAAAAGTTAACAGGAGCATAGAGGGAAATTGAGGCAGAAACAGTTACTTTTGATAGGAAGGTGATCCCAGAAAGTACCCGTAGGGAAGGAGGTGAATGTGAGGAAAGGAATGGAAAGCAGCCACACAGGATGCCTTGATGAGTAGATTACCACTCTACACCATGGTAAGGGGGATCTGCTATAGACAGTTGAGCTTCTTGCCTGACTGTGATTTTCTTGAGAGAAGGGAGAAAAATCAGCAACATGGGTGAGAAGTCCAAGTCTCCTCAAAAGGCTATTTTAAGAACAGTACAGAGGTGTCCATCTTTAGTATACCAGCCATCCCAGTCAGATAGCGTGAGACTTTACTTATGGATTTTTCTGGCAGACTGGACCCTGGGCTGGCAGATACATGGATGCCCAGTCAAGGGACAGCTGTTGAGAGTAGCTACGATGGCATTTGTCTGGGCAAGAGACTCTCTGGACCTATTTTACTGAGGGAAAAAAAAAATTCTAAAGAGCACAAACCAACAGAAGATTAGTTTAGTGCCATGGTTGTGACAACCCCACTCCCTTCATATGTTGAGATTTGATTGTGAAGATACCAAGAGGAAACAGCATTTTCCTGGTGTCAAAAAGTGGGCCCTTTGGGAGTGAGTAAGTGATTAGGGTGGGGTCCCAGGATTGACTCCTGGTGCATTTATGAGGAGAGGGAATGAGACCAGGAGATGCACTTGGACAGAGAATGCTGAGGCCTGTGCTCCTGTTCACTCACAATGCGACATCTTGCATGGCCTCAGCACCCCACCAAGAGGAAAACCCACTGGAGGTAGCTCCTGGCCCATGGGTCTCCAAACTAAGAGTCGAATAAACCTGTATTCTCTTAAACCACCCAGACTCGGGAATTTTCCACTTAGCAAGGGAACAGACTAGAACACTCAGTAACCAATTCCATTCCAGAAATAAAATCTGGCCCCAGGGCCTATAATGCCCTTCCCTTCTTAGGGTCTGACACAAGATTTGATATCATGGGGCCCTGCTGGGGACACACACACCTTCATCCCAGCAGCAGGTGGATCCTGTAGGAGAAACAAGGCAAACCCGTAACTGGATGGGAAATGTCTCTGTCCCTTTAAGTGATCATTAGAGGGCCCTCCCTGTGCTCTGAGCTCTGAGCTACTTCCTCTGTGTGCTGGGAGGGAAGAGCCTTCTGCACTCACAAGCAAAGGAAAGGCAGCAGGTCAGGGGCTTCCCGGAGCCAAGGTCAGAACCTGTCACCACGAAAGGTGAGCCTGAGCCTGGGAGCTGGAGGTGGGGCCGGGCAGTAGGTAGTGGGGAGTCTCTGTGAGAACCAGAGGGAACGAGGTTTCTAGAGTGTTTGCTGCCTGAGCACCTGCATTCCACAGGCACCTTGTGGTAAGCAAGATTCAGAGCAATCAGGATCCTGCTTCCAGGCTGTTAGGGAGGTTCCGAGTTTCAAACAGAGCAAGCTCAAGGGAAGTTTTAAGGAGTGTCTTCTTCAGGTCTGGAGCACACACTTGTTGGGAAGTGAAACCTGTGTCCTCCCACAACTCTTAATACAGTAAGAGAAGTGAGCACTAGACATACTTCCAGGAACAAAACAGTCTCAAAGGCATTAAACATTCCCCAAGCTGCGTATTCAGC